TTAACGAAATCAAGTAGATTTTAGTTTAACTTAAGGGTTACATAACGATGTTAATTGAAATGAAAACGAAAATTAAGCAAAGGATTTAGTTAATAAAAAAAAAAATTAATAATAATTAAAAGTAAAAAATAATATCAATCAAGAGTAGTAGTTAACTTGCCTTAAAAAAATATAATTAAATTAATACCAAATTCATTTAAATATTTTAATAACTTTTATTATTAATATTATTATTATTTGTTTTTATTTATTTAATGCTTTTTTTTTTTTTTTTTTTACTTACACTATGAGGAGGCAAATCAATTGCAATTGTTTTTTAAAACAACAATATAGTTTGAAGATTCAGTCGGTAAAGACATACACACCCTCCCTAGACTGCGGCTACCAACCTTGCCCGGAAAAGACAAGATTCTTATATATTCCCCTAAGAAAAATGACACAAAACTTTTGCTTTTTCTAATTGAAATTCTGCGGCTCGCCTAACAAACCTAACCCAAAAAATCAGATGACATATAATTTTCATCCTTTAGTGCATGATTTCAGGAAAGATCTAGTAATTAAGATTTTGGGAATACATTTACTTACACTTTATTACTAAAGATAGATGAACCAACAGATACCGCTTTTATATACAGTTTTGTTCTGTTTATTATTAAGCCACATTGTAATTGGCCAAATATCTGCACTTAACACCCGTCACCCATGGACGAGAGATATATTCACTTTGCCAAAACGCGTGTACAATGCCCACAAGGAAGCATCAGAGAGACCCAACAAAGTATATATATTCTTGATTAAAGCATCAAATCAGCATCTAAATCGATTTAAGCATGTCCGTTTGTCCGTCTGTGTAATGTCTGTTGTAAACATTCCCTTGAACATAGATTGATTTAAAAAATGGTTCAAATCGGTGGAAGCACACGCCTACAGTACCGCATAAACTGAGAACACCTCTCGGAGGGTTTGCTTGAGTGAGTAAGTGCCATTTTGGACCAAAGGAAATTCACTCCTAAAAAAAAAAAAATAATGAAGAATTTTAACTTAACAAAAAATCGTTCGTATTCGTCCAGAGAGAATGTAGCCTTAAAGATACTCTAAAAAATTTCAATGAAAAAGACGAAACTTGTTTGAGTTATGCGGCATAACGTTTTCAAACCTACGTGTTTCGAGATAAGCGGTTTTAAAGATTTCGAATACGTTATTAAACATGATTTCTTACTAAATTTAGCCCGTGATCTGAGAGGTAAAAAACTATTCGTCTCAACTTTTACCCGAATGTGTCTCTTTCGCTGCATCTGTCAGATAGAGAATCACAAGTTTTACGCTTGATAGAAAAGTTTCACATTTCGTGGTAGAGAAGCAATGAATGGAAGCTTCGAAATTGCATTCAGCCCCATATACACTTGAAGGTTACATTAATGAATCAAGCTTACTACATACTTGATTGACATACTTTTATTTTTTTTTGGAAATACACTTAAACGAAAATAAACGGCATCCGCCGTTAGTGCCTTAGAGGAGATAGGCAAAAATTTAAACTTCAACTTCCCAGCTGCAAATCATTTAACACAAGTATTCCTGTCGTAGCGCTTGCGAGTTAGTTCAAAATTTCTTTGCAGGTAATGAAAGTTCCAAAGCTTCTATTTAGCAAAAGTAGAAGAGAAAAGAAGAGAAGAGAAAAAGAGTTTATAGTGGTTTATCCTCTTAAACGGAATATTCAAACACCATTTCGAATAACTGGACTTTCTGCGGAAATCAAGAACTTAAAATAGATTGATCCCCACATTTATTTAGCGCGACATTCCAGAATCTTTCTAATGTGGCATATCACTGCAATTGATTTACTCTTAAGACATATAGAAAGAAGTATGTATATATATATATATATATATATATCTTTAGATGTGTGCATGCGTATATATGAATGTAAACCTATGTGTATATATGTATTACATGTTTGTATACCCATATGTATATACGTATATACGTATATATGTATATACGTACATTTTTTCAGCCATTACTCTTAAACATATTTCGATTTTTATGAATTATTCATCCATTATTAAGAGAAAGAAGAGAAGATATTTATTTATAGGCGTAACTATCCAATACATTGCCTCCGATATACTTGCTTATATTACTTACTATCCTCTATATATATATATATATATATATGTATACATTCTATATATAAATACTATTATTATTGATAATTATTGAAGTGTTTATACATTTATTTGTTTAAATGTTTGCAGAAAGAAAATTCATTGAAAAATATTGCAAAAAAAAAAACTAAATAAATAAATAAATTAATAAAAATCTAAATAAATTCTGAATGTTATACTTAAAAATAAAGAAGAAGAAGAAGAAGAAGAAGAATTTTGTGAAAATTTCTTATCCCTGTCCCGGCTTATGAAACAATGAAAACAATTTTTCTTTTTTAAATTTATTCTTTTAATCTGTTCGTTTTTACTAACAAATCATTCACAAGCTCTCCCTTACTTTTTTTTGAATGTAGAATGACCGTTCAATGGACCGGGTTACAAAGGACAACGAATAATTTGAACGGCCACAACGCTAGAAATACACCTGTTAGTCTATACTAGTGGTAATCACTCTTTTGTGATTCTAATGCTTTCAAACTAATAGCTAACGAACCTATTGCGTTTTGTTTATTTATTGGCCTTCGTTTTTGCTTAATTTTTCTGTGGAAATTTTTCATAAATACTTTCTCTGTTCAATGTTCATTGTCGGCATTGCGTCATAAATTGTCTTATTCGCGATATTCTTTCACTTCCTCCATACATTTTAACCTGACTACAGAAGGTAAGCTTTATACACAATTTTCGGTAGCAAAATTATTGAAGAAAATATTAAATAGGCATGGTCGATCTTCTCCCATTTTGTGCACAAATGCTACAGCATAGCCCATTGAATATGCATTCAGACTTTTGTACATTTATCTCCTATAATTTGTGAGCGATGAGAAAAAAACGAATTTTTTATTCCTTTTGAAAAATAGAAGTGTTCTCAATTTACGTGAGACTGCCGGCGTGTCGTTCGACTGATTTCGCCCATCTTTAATAGCAATCTATGTTGCGAGAACTTGCAATGTTTTCTAAAACAGACATTCAACAGACGGACAGACGGATATGCTTAAATCAATTTAGAATTTGATGCTGATCAAGAATATATATATATATAGTTTATGCGATCCCTTTGGGCGCGGCAGACATTTTGACAAAATCAATATACATATCCCTCGATGATGGGTATAAAAATAAAACTATAGTAAGGGTAGTTGATTTTGAAACTACGAATTTGAAAAATTGAATGGAATGCAACCTGCCTAAGTCTATTTATCGCTAGAGTTATGTTTGTTCATGTAGGCAAGTTTTCTAATATGTTGGCGTCTCACATGAAGAAATTATTACAAGGCACGATTTATATAGAATCGATCATCCATTGTGGTGATTGCGAGGCGACGTATGCTATGAGTTTATGATTTGCTAAAGATTTGCTGAACTTTTTTAAATACTTTGCTGTGCACTAATGAAAAAATGTTCTAATGTTCTCCATATATATATATATATATATATTATTTTGTTAATATTTTGTATGGCAGAGATATGAGTGTTTGTTGTATGCTTTATAATAAAAGTGCTTTTTTAATATATTTTTTTTTTATTATTATTATTATTTTTTTTTATTTTTTGATCTTTTTAATAAACATATTTACATACTTTTTATCATATAAATCGTCTTTTAATTGAAAACTACCATTTTTTTATTATTAAAGTCAAACCATAAAACAAAGGATTTAAAATTCATTAAATAAACCATACATTCAACTAAAAATTAAATGAAAATGTAAGTACATACTAATAATGCTAATGAAATTCTTCAAAAATCCTAAAGGCATGATCCGCTTACTCATTATTACTAACGCAACCATAATGGATATGTTTGAGTAGAGTTAAAAGGCATAAAACAGTATAAGGCTGCTTTCTGTTTTTTTTTTTGTTTTTTTTTTCATGCAATAATTTTAGGCGTTAAAAGAGCTTTCAAGTTCTTAATTATAATTTTTGTGGAACATATACTTGGTACACTCACTGATTGACTGACTATAGGCGAATGAAAACTTCAACTTGTAATCACGAGGAGATTCCCAGGAAGTATTACTCGATAACTTGGAGCAAAACTTTCAAATTTTTAAAGTTTCAGTTTCAGATCGTCAGCATTACTGCAAGAGATATTATACTGAAAGTAATCTGACTAAGACTTACTGAGACTGGGCAAATAAACAAGTGCGAAAAATTAATTCGTCTTAAGACGAAACTCTGATATCCGCAAATTAGCTGTAATTGTGTGTGTGTGTGTGTGTGTGTGTGTGAGAGAGAGAGAGAGAGAGAGAGAGAGAGAGAGAGAGAGAGATGGAAATGTTCGTGAAAAGCCTTGATTGCAACGTTCATAATTAGCGAAAAAGTTGGGGGGCGTGGCGAAGAAAGGCAATATCGTAAGATATCTGCTTCGAAATGTTCAATAATAAATATAAGATGTCCATAGCATATAACACTTACCGGTTGTGGGCGCACATTCATCCACCATGCTCCCGCGGCCACTCGGGATTTGGCAACAACATGTGTTATTAGAAAAAGTGTCGCAATCTACGAAAGTGGTTTGAAGTAGAATCTGTAGGAGATGTTGATGGAAGACAAAGCGTTCTCCGGACTAGCGGATGGGCAGACGTGTGGCCGAGCAGGAGTGGGCGGTGGGGCATGATTAGTTTACCTTAAGACCATGATAATTTTGTTGCTATTGTGTTTTACTCGCTTCGAGCAGATCTATTGCATGAGAATTTATACAGAAATGTCTTATGCCACCGAAATATACTTTTATGCCTTTTAAGCTATGAATCAAAGAATGAAATAATGACGAGCAAAATTGAAGCATAAAAAAAAAAAAAAATTATTTCTTTTAACTTTTTATTTATGCAGCTACCGCAACGAAAACATTAAATGCCCCAGCAACGATCGGTTTAATAAAATCGAAATCGGGTTGTTTCGGTTTAATGACGTCGGATTTGAATAATGAATTGAAAAATCGTTTAAAAAGTTCAGAACATGCTACGGTCACAAATCTGCGTAAATCGTGTACGACAAGTGATACGAAATTATCATTAGAAACGGATCAGACGACGACGACGACGACGGCAACGACAACGACAACGGCGGCTTTACATGATGATACCGTAAGTTTAGTGCGTAATCTTAGCAGTTTAGGTAAACTGCCGACAGAGCGTCGCTTAGCCCCCTCTTCTGGTGGTGATGGTAACGATAACGAAACCGAGATAGCATCAACATCGGAGGGCGAATCATCGGGAGGTCGTGAAATATCAGAAATTATTAAAAATAGTGCCATAGCACGTAGACGTAAATTAGCGGATGGGTAAGTTTCATTTATTTATTGGTTTCTTTTATTCTTTCTTTCCATTTTCTTTTTCGTTCTTCTTTGTTTTTCTTATTAAAAATTTTAACAAAACAAAAAATATATATATATATATATATATGTAATAGAAAATTTAAATATAACTTATATAAATAACACTTTTTATTTTTAAAATATATTTTAAAAAATATTTAGACAAATATTGTTTTTACAAATTTCTTACTAAACAATAGTATTAGTAAAAAAAAAAAAAAAAGAATAAATAATTAATTAGAAAAAAAAAAAAAAAACAACAAACAAACACACACTAATAATTGTAAACATTAAATTCGCTTTTGATTGTATTTTACATAATCACATTTCAATAATTTATATAAATAAAAAAATGAATGCTATTTCTTGATAATGTTTAACCCTAACAGAGAATGAAAATAAAATGAAAAAAATGCAAAATGAAAAACAAAACAAAATTGTTTCTAACCAAAGTTTGTGTTTGAATAACACGGAACGTGTAAATCCGCCGCTTAAAGAGTACTCTTATACACTATACATATATATATCGTCACTTTAACTTTATATATGATATTAAAAATTCTTCTCTTCCACCAAAATATCTGAATCGATCATTTGAAGTTCTTAAAGCAATCTCTTTGATTCTGAATAGAGAAATAGAGAGCTTTTCACAAATTCTCAAACTCACATCACGTTCGCTCGGTTCATTCCGTTCGACGATGAATTGTCCTTTTTCTCATTAGGCTGCGTTATACTGCGTCTGATAGTTCTTAGTTGTTGTCAAAATATGTGAAAAAGATTTTTGAGTTTTTTTTCTGCTTTTTCCTCAGCCCGCTTTACTGTCGTGTCTCTCTCTATCTCCCTCCGGCAACTTCACCTTTGTTGCTTTCTTTGGTTGAACAACATTATTCGCCGTTTTTTTTCTTTTTTCAACCCATATCTATAATAACCGTCTGCAGAATTTGATTTGCTTAAAAAATAGGCGGGTAATAAAGCGACTCAGTGTCCTTGACCATAATAGCCAGCAAGAACAGCCGAAAGTTATGTCAACCGACTTTCTTTCTTCCTGCTGTTTGCTATACGAGCTGGATGAGTGATTCGCTAGCCATGACCGCCTACGTACTAAAACTGCTCTCCCTCCGCACAGGCACTTTTCCAACTACTCTCCCCCGCGAGATAATCGTCAGGTATTACTTCGTGGGTATCGATGCCATTGGTGCTACTCGTTTGATGGGACCTTTGCGGACTATCTTATTGGTTGTGTGTCTGTGTATGTGTACGTGTATGGATGGGCGGTTCTATCCATTTCTTTTTATATTAATATTCTTAGACCCTACACTACTCGTGGTATATGGATAAATTATGTTTATGCGAACGTATGCGACGCTCGCTGAAGGACCTGAAATAAACCCAGCATTCAATGTACCGATCGATTCAGACTGACTTCTATGCGTTTGTCTTGTTTTCTTGCGTTCTGCGGGCTGAACCGGCCGCAATTTATGGGATATTTCGATAAAATTCGACTTATCGATATATTTTGATCCAAGGACGAACACTATTGAAAATGATTCAGATTGGACTGGTTTTTCGATCACTTCCCATATAATGCTTGATTTTGAATTGTCGAGAAATGGTTAAGTGTAGGGTGGTGTAGAGTGTTTAATTGTCAACCGTGTGCCACTCAGGTCGCACTACTTTTTCGACAATTTCTTCGAACACTTCCCCGTATAACAACTTATGTTGCAAACTGTATTAAGCGAAGCGATAATTAGTGAAGAGCATTTAATGATGACCATGATGATGTGTCCCATTGCGCTGTTCTTACTTTTACAATACCATTTTGTCTGAATTATGTAATCAATATTCAGCAAGCATAATTTCTTTCCCTCTGTGATTATTATACTCTTAGCGGTGGATTTGTATCATAGGAAAATCTTTCATTAAAACATACTTCTAAACCTTTTCTTAATATGCTCACATTTTATACTTAAAAAAATTATTATACAAAAAAAAAAAAAAACAAAATTAAAAAAAAAAAAGAAGAAAAAAATTTCCAAAGACTGCTCTTGATATACACTGACATTGAAAATAATTTTATAATTAAAAGAAATTCAATAAATTGAGGTAAAAATAATAATCACAATAATGCCATAACCGGAACGCATGCAGCTATTCAGCCGTAGGAAGCTAAGAATATGTATGTATATATATATATGTATGCATGCAGGCACGTACGGATGTATGTATATATGTATATGTGCATGCATCTAAAGCGATTGTATAACAAATAAATGTACGATATAATATTAACGAGTCTTTTTTGCCGTTTTTGCACTTTTCCAATGCCCACAGAAGCAAACTCCGATAATCAAGTGAAAAAGAAAAAGAAAAAAAGAAATTTATTGAAAAAACTAAAAAAAAATGAGAAAAAAAAAAAGAAATTATATAAAAACCATTTGTTATATTATTATTAATTTTTTTTTTGCCGGCAGACAATTTAAGGCAAATGTGAAAAATAATTTTAGTCAACCACAACTACCACCACCACCACCACCACCACCACCACTACTACTACCACCTCTTCCTAATTCTACAGCACAGTTTTGGCCTTACAACAAACAATTTATGTTTTATAGGCAAAAACAACAATATCGTCACGTTGAAGCCCCTAAAGCCAAAGCTTTTATTGAAAATAACCTGTAAAAAATAATTTTTGAAATTAAACTTAAGCTTAATTAATATCTTCTTTCGTTTTTTTTTTTCTTTTTATTTTCTCCGTTTAACTAATTTTTAATAATATAAATGAAACGACAAAAAATGAAAACAAAATAAAAAAATGCAACTAATTACATAATTTTCTTAACAATATTTAAGTGTAAATGAAAAAGAAAAAAAGACATTTTTTCAATACTATTTTCATTAAATGTTTGCAGAAAATAAAACAAATATAAGTAGCTTTTATTTCCTTTCATTTTTTTTTTTTTTTTTTTCTTATTTTTTTTTTTGTTTTTGTTTTTTTTTTTCTTATTTTTGTTTTCTTGATATAATTGTGAAAAATAAAAAATAACTTAAGAGTTAACTAAAAACGAAAATTAATTGTGTTTTAATTTTCTATTAACCATTTTCTCTAAGGCTTCTTTTTTTCATAAAATGTGTTTCTTTTTGTTTTATGTAAAAGCTCTTCTTTTTTTTCTTTTTTTTCTTACGTTTGATTATGATTTCTTTCTTTTTTTTTTCTTATATCAGCCTGATCGGCCTGAAAGTAGGCATATTTGTATTTATAATTTCGCTTACTATCAGCTGGAGAAACAGTTACCCTTCGGTTGGAATATTTTCTCTTTAACAGCTAAGTTTCGCTTAATGCGATTCATGCTTTTCTCAGCTTAAAGTTTATATTGAAAAGATTTATGGAAAGCTTAAACATATGCCTAAGTGAAAAACATACGATATTTAAATTCATTAATATACGATAATCCATTATTTATGATATTTTTACATTCATTGCTACTCATTGTACGTAAAAGCACTTTTGTACGCTAGATAGCAGCACATTATAGGTGTTTCTATAAAATTATCTATTTTCTTCTTCTTATTTTAATGTTATTCATTTTCAAGCCACTGTTGTCTTTAGCGGAAATCATAACAGTTGCGTTATACGTTGTGCGTGACTCACGAACCGTCAAAATAATATTGAATGTCTGCATTTAGATGGCAGCTTACCTTTACTTTGCTTTACCTTGCTTTGTGTTCGATTGCAAATTGTTTGTAAAATATTTAAAATTTCTGAGTACGCTTAATGTTTGACAGGCAAAACAGTGATCGTAACCGATGAAAAGAAAACAAAATCATACGGTTTATGTTTCAAACATAATATGATTTTCATAACAAAAAAAGAGGAAAATTAAACTAAATTATACTGTTATCCACTCCTATATGGAAAACCATTTTTTGTTTTTTGTTTTTTGCGATCATTAGTTGTATAATGCGTAACGCAAGCCTTATGTTTTCCGCTTCAAATATTTAAGTTTATAATTAGGGAAACATACCAGGGGAAGAGTAGCATTTGACATCGTTTGAAATATACTTTTAGCCGCTCAATATAAAGTTCTTAATTTTTATATACCTTATTGAAATTTTGAATCAATTTCTTGACCATTTCCTTACACGTGGATTGAGCTTTTTATAACACCTTGCTATAATTCCCACTTATATTCGCGAGTGCGCAAATCCAAATTTGAGGGTGTGAAGACAAATTCGAATTTTGCTAGCAAAGACACCTACCATATCTGTTAACAAAACTCGGCAAACGCTTCAACAGAGCTTTGTTAAATATTTAAAATTAAGATATAGTTGGATTTGAAAGCCTACTCTGTCCACATTAAACAACGTTGTGGACATCTCATAAATATTGTAAACAGTTTGAAGATTGGACGTGTACAATATATTATTTATGGAAGAAATTCCCTATGAATCTCTTCCAAAGTGTACGTAAGTGAGTTTAGCCCTAAGCTGCTCGGCTTCAGTGCGCCAAGTCTTTCCGTCTCACAGATTGCCAATATAGCTCGACATGAGACGGTCCCTAATTTATGGTTCAAGCGAATTAAACGCTTTTTGAGTTGCTTTGATTACAATTGAGTTCTTAATTGAAAAGGCGCACTACTTATACTTAATTTCTATATTAAATTATGCTTACCTAAATATAATTATAATTGTTTAATTACGGCGCCTGCCATCGTATATTACGAAATGCAATACTCAGCCAGGTGAAGTGCGACAAAATTTTTCTTTTTTCTTTTGCTGTCGTACTTCAAAGTGGATGTATACGACGGTATGCGATCAATATATATGAAAATACCTTTCATAAACAAATTCAAATTCTGCTTATGGGAACTATTTTTAAAAATATTTTGAAATTTGGTATGTTAGCGAAAAATGTTTTCATACCTATAAGAACATTCGAATTTGAGACAGTTTTCGTTATATGGCAGGCGATTCAAAAATTGCGCCCAGCCGGTCCAAAGTTCTCATACCAATTTAGAATGTTAAAATACTATTATTTAGCCACTTTTGCCGAGAAATTTTGAAAATAAAAAAAACATTTTTCTCTATCCACTTTGTGGGAATATATTTTTCGCAAGAATTGGTAACCCTCTGATTAATAACTAATTCTCTGCATTGTGGCATAAAATAATTTTGATTAGTTTTTTTAAATGATTTAAAAGTGATTGCGCCGAGCGAAATATTATTAACGCATTAACTTCAATTTAAATTGAGAACGTGAAATGAGCAAATTTTTGAAATGCTCTGAGATGCATTTCTATTTGGCACCACCAGCGGATTGTTGGGATTAATAATGTAGGATTTTGTTTATTTTGTGTGATTACTTGGCAGCATCAGAGAATTGCTGGTATTGATGTGTTATTTGTTGCTGTAAATCTGGTACCGTGTGTGGTTGTTGTTGCGAGAGAAAACCATATTCGCAGTTGTGCTCAACTATTTATTTCTTTGATTAATTGTATTTTTGAGAGAGAGAGAAAGGTGAATATAAATCTAAATATGTTGTTGTTGCTCCTTCACTTGCTTGATATTTAAAAAATAAAAAAGTCCTCTCTTAACTAAACCACAACTAACTTCAGTTTTTTCTTTTTAGAGTAGCGAAAAATAAATGCTGAGCGTAAAATTGACTTTCCTGTACATTACTTATGAAGAACAGGAAGACCCCTGAGAGGCTTTTTGAATTTTGCGAGAATATAATTCTATTTCTCTGAGTAAAATTTACTTGGCTGTACAAAATAAGCTGAGAATAATAAAATTCAATTTCTGAGAGTAAATTGTAAATTTTGTTGCTATAAAAGTAGTATCGTGTGCACTTTGTTGTTGCATTTTCAAACGGTCGTAACGTCGCGGGAGCTTGTGTGAAAATACGTAATTTATCTAAATTCACACTTCAAAAACAAATCCTATGTTAATAAAATCCGTAAATTACCTATACCTGGAAATTTAGTTTTTTAAAGGGAGAGAATAGATTTCTTGTCAATGATTTAAAGTAATATACGCAAAAATATACTGAAAGAGTTATTTGCTCTTGATTTCAGAAAGTGCAAAAGTGTTTCTTTTCACATCATCACGAAGCAAAGATTATTTAATTTTGACAATCCATGATGAATCAATTATAAAAAATGTAACAATTTTCAAAAAAACAAAACACTAGTATTTTACGAACAAATCAAACCAATATCTCCAATACTTGCTATTAGTTGTGAACTAATTGTCTATACAAAGATATAATAAATAGAATAGATTTTATGCATAAAAATATTATAAAAAAAAAGTGATTTACTAAAATATTTAAAAAAGATTTTCTTGTCACACAAAATCGGGAAATAAATAAATAGATAGAAATAACAGAAAATTTGGAGAAGCGGGAAACGAAATATTTTGATAAAATATTACAGTTTGCAAGAGGAAAGGTAAAAAGTCTGCGAGTCTGTGCGTGGATAAAAGGAAAAATTTGTGTTTGTAAACAAATTCCAATTAGATTTTTTCTCACTTGTATAATTAAAAAACGCAACGATTGAGAAAAAAAGCAACTAATCGAGTATAGTAGTAAGTTAATATAAATTCGAATTGATATTTTGAAATACAAGTAAACAAAGCAACAAACAAAGGAATCGCTTATGATAGTGCTAATGATGATGAACGTTTTCTGTGGATAAAAACCGCCAAAAATTTAGTGATAACTTTTATCTTCAGGTTTTCCTTACTCTGTACGTTATAGAGAACACACCTTTTTGTTTAAACTTCATTGCGGTTGATATTGCCGTTGTTGTCGTTGTTTTTGCTTTTGTTTTTATTGTTGCCGTCTCGTTCGTCTGGTGTTTATTACTACAACTACCTCTACTACTACTGCCGCTGTTGCTGTTGTCGCTACTATATGTAGTTAAAATTGATCTTCTTCTTGCTGACATTTTGAGGAAAAAAAAAGAAAAAAAACATTTTTAAACATCAAATTTCAAAAGTTTTCCGTTGCGGTCACTCTCCTAAAGGTTCGTATGCCGTATTTTTCTCTTCTTTTTTTCTTTGTTTTCATATATTTAAATATGAAAAAGTATTTTATTTTATTTGAATAAATTTTTGTATTCATTTTTGTCCGTATGCGGCAGTGAATGTAAATATGTATGTACAGATGATATAATAATGTGTTTACATGCATTTTTCAGTGCACAGCATATATTTTTATTTGTCAATTTTGAAGTTATTTTAATACAGTCTCTCTTTAAGTTATTTTTCCGATACTTTTCTTTGTTATTATAAGTTCAGGTAGTTTTTGTTTTTTGGTTTGTTTCGTTTTATCTTTTATTTAACAAATAAAACATGAACAATGAATAAAAGATATTGTGGTTGTTCTTGTTGCTGCGTGTGTGCAGTATTTCTTTAGAGTTTACATTTCGGCTTGTCGTTATGTTTCTTATTGCTGCTGCTGCTGCTGCTCCTGCCATAGTTATTGTTTTTGTTGTTGTATTCTTCTAGTTAAAGTGTATTCATATTTTTACATTAACTTAGGCCTTGTTGTTGTGGGTTTTTTTTTTTTTTTACACCCATCATCGAAGGATAGAGGGTACGTTAATTTTGTTAAAACGTTTGTAACGCCCAGAAGGAAGTTTCGGAGGATCCACATAGCATTTACATTATTAATCAGCTTCAAATTCAGAGTTGATTTATGCCCGCCTGGCTGTCTGTCCGTCTTTGTAATGGCTAGTGTAAACGTTATCCTGGCCGCAAAAATGAATCCATCAAATTCAGATATGGCAAAAGGATTGAAAGTTCTTGCACGTATGTTGGTATTGGAAATGGGTTAAATCAGTCGAACGACACGCTTGCAGTAACACCTAAGCTGAAGACACTTATGTTTTTCAAAAAGAATTAAAAATTGCGTAAGTCTACAAAAATGTAAATGTAAATTTGGTTGGTAACCCATGCTTTAATTAGTACCTCTAGAAAAATGGAAAAAGTTGGCCACGCCTATTTAATTTTATAGTGTGTTATTGTATCATTTATTTGCAATACCTTTATAAGGCGGTGAAACGAGTCTTACACACCCCAATAAAGTATATAAATTCTTGGCCAGTTTCAAATTCGGAATGCATCTAAACACGTCCGTCCATTTGTCTATCCATCTGTCCATTTGTACGTCTGCGCAAATGTGCAGCCTGCAGTTTGTGGTAAGCGTTCTTTCGTTCGCAAAAATGAAGATATTGCTTATAAGCGTAGAAAAGGCCCGAACTTTTCAAAGAACAAGCCCACAGCATCCACAAGTCTATGTAACGAGGAGTTTGAACTCTTTACTTTGTTTTACGTGTTTTTTGGTTGTAAGTCAGAAAAGTCAACACACACATCATACATATTTCTACTTTTACTCAAAAGATAGAAAAAATCAATCGCGCCCATCCACTATTACCAAGTGTGAAAATTTATTTAATTATTTATTTATTTTTTTTTGGGATCACGGTGATGAGTATAAAAAAGAGTCGGTGACGACCGAATATATAATGTTCTTGATTCTTTTTGGATTTCTAGTGAATTTTTTGATTAAATCAGCGAAAAATAAATTTTGTATTTAATATTTTACTCTTACAAATTTTGTTCGCGTTCAGGTACAAATGAACATGAATGTAAATTTTGTTACTTTTCTACCCGCTGGTGAAAGATCAAATTTTATCATTTCGTTTTTGTAACGTCGCCGCTTGGGAGACGTCGGCATCACCCAGTTTGCTTGGATTTGAAATTTTCTGAAACATGAAAATAATAAGTAATAAGTATATGCTCTTATTACGTCTTTATATACTTGATCCGCACGTATATGTATACTGGTGTACTTTAAAGTCGAGCGTAAAAATGATAGAAATTTTTGCTTGTTTCTTTTTTAATTTTTATACACCTCATCGAGCATCAGTTGATGCTGTTCAAATTGCAAAGTCCATAAATAGCCAATGCATTTATCAATGTCAACTGTTGAACTACTTTAGGCAATGTCCATCCATCCGTATGACTGATTGTGGTTTCTTGCTACACCAGCAGCAAGATGCAGCAGCAGGAGCGCCTACATATTTAAAGTTAAAGCTTTTGAAGCGGGCTTAACTCGTGCATAACCCAATAACAAGTCAGCCAAAGTTGAATGTTCGGCGTTTTTTAGGCAAAATCTTCTATATATCTGCCTGCAACCAATGGAAAAGGATATCGAAAAATTGAGGAACATAGTTATGTGGAATTTTTGAATGACTGTAGATGTACCAAATTTTAGTTCATCATCTTCTTTAGTAGGCTAATACGTTAAAGTTGAGTTTTAGATCAATATGTTAAAGGACTTGATGAAGCTAATTGCTTCCAGTTCCAGTCTGTTATATATTCTTTTTTTTGTTTTTTTTGTTTTTTTGCTATGCAACCTTATGCTTTAAGTTTCAAGATACAAACAGATTGACGGGAAGATGTAAGACTTAATCGCATGAAACAACGTTTCGACAACGCCTAAATTGACAGATATGACAATTAAAGGTATGCACATAATGTAATTGGAAGAGCGAAAATTGTCCAGTTTAATCTCAAGGTATCAGGTAATTGAGCTCTTTTCGAAATGAGATTTTCTTACCATGCGATCGTAATGTTTAATCGATGAACCGTTTTCTTCCAACATTTTGAGGCATCTGTTGCTGAAGAGAATCAAGATCGAAGCTAATAATTAGCAATTGCTTAGTTAAGCTGTAATTCATTACCTTCGGCCACGTCCAGTCATACGTTCCAGAATAGGTTACTAGATCCAGACACGTGGGAGTTATATTAATACAATTTTGCAAAAATTGAATGTTGATCAACAACACTTCTACAAAACATATGTTGATGTGAATTTGCAGCATTTAACTGATGTCGATTTAAACTTTCGTTAAAACATACATTCTTCAGAGTCATCCTAACGGACGTCACATGTCTGTAACGCAGCCCTTTCTTACACACAGCGCAGCGTCACATTTATGCCTCATATACGTAAAATCTATAATAATTCAATTGATGTGTCATGTAATCATGAAAGCAGCTTTCAAAATTTTTCGCGTAAGAGTCTGGTAGCGAACCGATCATATCGATGTCGAATTGACACAATTGCCATTAAAAAAAAAAATGCTTTGTAATTGTTATCGTTTGGTCTAAGATGTCAATAAGAGATTAGTCAGAATTCGTTGTAGGGCATTCTTTTCCCCCAATCGATTTTATATCGGTTGATGTGTCTGTCTCTTTGCCAAAATTACTCGGCGATTAATAATAAAATAAAAGTTGAACCCAGAACGTAATTCCTTAAGTCGATTATATAACCATATCTTATGTAATCTTTCTTTCCCATGTATTTTCTATTAAGTGCAAGACATTATGGCTTAGACGCGATAAAGGTTTTAAGTTGAACGCACGTTACATCCAACATAGCCCGCATTGCTGACTGCTGTAACTTTACGTTCTAGAATGCTTACGACATTCAAGTCGCCTATAAAAAAAAGAAAAAAAATGCATTTAGCTTAAGTTGAATATAATTTCATGTTATACCCTACATCGCTTGTGGTACAAGGGTATATCAAATTTGTGTCGATGTGTGCAGCACTCGGAAAAACTTGAGATCAATCTGGAATAACCTTCTGAATCGATATAATCCGTTTGACTATCCATCTAGATTCTTGCGTTCATTGGACACTGGACCAACTTGTTTTCATCGGATGACGGTGCGCTACTGAAAATGATTGCAATCAGACGTTCTTTTCGACCACTTCCCATATCACGCTTACATGAATAACTGTAGGATGGTGTAGGGTATTTGATGGTGTGCCGAGTTTATAGCTTATAGCATATATTTTCTACACTCTTCTCCATTGTTGCCGCCCTGTCTGTTTCTCTTATTTTAACAATTTTTCACTTTAATAATTTTTAACTCAAATTTCAAAACCCGCGTTGTTCCTCTCATCTTTTCAATTTTTCCCAATAATTTATTATTGTTTAGAAAACCCACTTGTTTTTGCCAATTTACTTTGATAGCATATATATGTTGTAATATCAGCAATATATAATAAAGTGGGTTAAATGCAAACGCGCACAAACACATATACATACTGCATACCTACATGTATTTATCTGTCTGCTGTAGTTGAACCCAAACTTTTTTCTTCTCCGAACTAAATCTAAAACTATATAAAATTTACTCAGTTTGTAGGTTGTAAGACTATCAGTTTGCGAAATTTTGAAAAAAAAAAAAGAAAAAAACAATTAAAAAGAATAAAATGCATTATGTACAGTGATGATACAGTAAAGTCGCTGTTCACGGACATCTTCATTTATTCATTTATTATTATTATTATTATTATTATTAATTTCGCCAGAGAAATAAATTCTAAGACTAAACTCTTAAAAGCACTAGCATCTAAGGCTATCGGCTTTTATTATTAAAAATTCTACCGCACTTGAGATCCGAACCCACGACCATTGACTTGCTAGTCGAGATTCCTCGCCTTCGGCTACTCAGGCGGGTTTATTCATTTATATTTTATATATATTGTAGTTTTTATTACCCACAAATGTCGTCGCCTCATCTCAAGGCTTACTTACCGATGGAGATGACGTGAATAATTTTACTTAAAATGAAATAAATTAAAAAACGGACAAAGCACCCATACCACCCTAAAGGTAAGCATATAACTTCTTATAAGAATGCGGCGTTATATGGGAAGTGGCCGAAAATGTATTCCCATCACAAACATTTTCGATAGCGTTCGTCTGTGGACCAAACTAAGCCGGTGTAATAGATTTCATCATAAAAAAAGAACAACAAGACGGACAGACAAGCTTAAGTCTATTTAAAAAGTGTTTGTAAATCGATTGATATAATAAAAGTTGGGCATAAACTTGTATAACTTGTACCATGTGGTGTAGGTTATAAAGAATAAAAGTAAAGACTAAAAATTCAATAAATAAAAGGAAAAAAAAAAAAAAAACAAAAATTAAATAAAACCACAACATATCCCTATCATTGGAAGAAATATATGCACAATTTCTCGCCTAAAATGTATCAAGATGGGAATGATCTGTCAATCACGCGGGATCGATTTTCACCGGCACTTGCGAAAATATTTATGTAAAGATAATATAAGTAAAGTTTTATATATAAAACATATATATAAAGATATGTATCGTATATATTACATATATACACAGAATCGAAGCTTAGGCATTAGTTATGAGTATTCAATTGAGCTAATGCGATAATTTCTCTCTAATCGGATAAACTGACGCTTGTTTCGAAAAGTTAACTCTGCTATCTATGTGCGATTATTTTGGGAATCGTTAATCTTAAGCCTTTCTCTTAGTTTTAAAATTCTCATTGGATACGAATTAATTTCACCCAATATATGGCAATATTTCCTGGGTACATTTTTTTTTTCCCGCCCAGATACGAAAAACAGTTATTATAGGTTTAGACATCAATTCATTCTCCCTCTCATAGTCGAGTAACTATGTACGATCTTTTGCCATTTATCGGATAGCCTACGGTTGCCGTCGGGATTAAAACCGTTCTTCGTTAACAGCTGTTAACTGTTAACCTGCTAAATATAATTGTATCGATCTGAATAAGTGATAATCAGAATCGGGGGCGCTGATCTGGAGAATTTGTGGGATATGGTAAAACTTCTCGGCCTAAGCTGAAAATCATTTTCTTGCAAGAAAAACATTTTTCCCCGAAATCTCATAAATCACACTCCAACGGTTGCGTAGCTTACCGCGTTTTCATCCCAAGCTAACTTAATCAAGCCCCTTAGCTTGAGCTGCATTTTATCCTCAATTAATCAAAAGAAAAATGCAGAAAATTCTATTCAGTTGTGTTCCATTAATGACATCCGTCTCTTTGAATTTTGATGTATATCGAACGATAGCTTGTAAACAACTGAAACTTACACTGTTCAAACATCAGGGCCTAAGTAATCTATACTTTGAATTGCGAAGAATACAAACGAAAATCTCTCAGTGAAATTGTCCAAATCAAGATGCAGTTACCAGTGGGGGATTATAGTTTGCCGTTTTCCCAGAGCGACATATGATCGTTGAAGATCGGATCATGAACAATTCAATCACAATCTTAGTACTCCATTGATAATGATTTTATGCTCTGTTATAGTATTTTGAGTGATATTATGTTCAAGTGTTCAATCGCTCACTTATCGGTACAATTTTACGCTTACAAATTCGAGTTAGTTTCCATAAAGTGCCGAAGAGAACACAAATTTCTATTCATTTCCCCGATTTATTTGGACATAATTAGGAAGCAAAAAAAAAAAACCGAGAAGAAAAAAGCTGAATGAATCACGCAACATAACCTCATAACTTCCATCAAGCGATTGTGACATTTTTTACTGAATATGACATAAACAAAAAACAAAAAATCAAAATCAAACCGAATTGAAAAATCGATAGCTGACATATTAAAAAAAATATCAAACATTCCGCCTTTTGTAATTAGAAAGAAGAGAGAGAGAGAGAGAGAGAGAGAGAGAGTGAAAAATCTACAACGAAGATCTCAGGCGAGAATATCATGGCATTGTGCCTTGAAGAATTTAATTCAATTTGATTGAATGCCTCGATCTTGCAGCACAAATCCGCCTTCTCCGTATCTTCTCTTATGGTCCTTGGTTATAATAAGATTTGAATTTGATTTGATTTGTTTTTATGTAGGTGTTCGCTTATGTTGCAAAACTAAGAGGAAGCACTTTGAAAAACACTTTCGGTACGGCTGATTGAATAATTTTCTGACATTGAAAAATAAATTTAAAAAAATTTAAACAATCCATAGAAGAGTGGGCGGTCAATTTGTCGTCGCTCTTCAAAATTATCCATAGCAATAATGCAAACTCATGTTCGCATATCATTATTAAAGTCGTTTCAATTTACGTTACAACTTTACTAGCGTAACAATTGTATCGTGTTATTCATATCATATCCTACAAAATCTTATTATGGATATTATATTTTCTCTTTTGCTGGAACATGAACGTAATTTAGCTAAACATGTATTTACAGTGGCCAAAAATGGTGGCCATACTTAGCCAAAGGGGAGATCTAATCAAACTCTGTGCCGCACATATATTTCAAGTGAGCTACCGTAGGTCCAAGTTAATAAGAGTCGTGATTATCACGTTGATGTTCAAAGTTTAAAACTCAATCGGCAGTGGATGTGATTGGGCGACACATCCACTTCCTATCTCTTCCTCTTTTTACTTACAACGAGATGTTATTATCATTAATGCATGCTACCGATGTTATTATCTATGTGAGAGACTATGAAATTTTTGAATGATCTGATTATACTGAGCAATTGATTTCCCTAAATCTGTCTATGTGTTAGAATTGACGATTTTTTTTTTGATTTTTTTTCTGTTTAAATTTAAAGTCTTTCGTTTGACCGGTTAAATTCTCGCTGCTTAACTTTTTCCAAAACACCACTCGTCATAGGCAGAAATGAAAGAAATTCAAACTTGTCTGGAACCGCTTAAGGTTTTTTTTTTTTTTTTTTTTTGCACAAGTGAAATTATAAATGAACTTATTTTAAATTTTCATTAATACGTTCATTAACCTCTGCTTTAAGGCTTTTTCAGGCTCTTGCTCGCTTCATGTATGGCCGTCACTGGAACTTCAACTTATTTTTGAATCCTGTTCAAGTGCTTAGTATGCACCGTTTTCAAGACATTGTTTGATTAATGCCTTGACTATGAATAATTAATAAAATAGAAATAAAAATAAAAACAAGTGGATGTGAAGCCACCACATAACCAGTACACCTCCTCTCCTTCCTGGCAAATAATGAAATATATGATCACATATGAAATCCTCTACAACTCCATGAAATTGACATTTTCCTCCTTCTTTTAAAAAAAAAAACGCAATCACGTACATTGAGCTCTTTTATGGGGAAAAAGAAGAAGAAGAAGAAGAAGAAGAAAAAAAAACAAGATGAAAACCTAAAATAATGTAGGAGAGTAATAAACTTTTTGTGGTATTATCTATGATTCGTATATGTAACGTTTGCGTTATATATGCACATATAGATGCAAACACACACGCGCGCATACATACATACATCCATACATACATATGGACGGTTTATGTGCGGACATATGGATATATGTATATATGGATGTATCTACAAATATAAGTATGTATGCATGTACATCTATTTATGTATATTATGTATATGCGATTGTTATCCGGTAAATGATTATTAAGTGGCAGTGCGTGTAGGTAAACAAACGAAGTGCGTGAGTAAACTTTATCGTTTCTTCTTTTCACCTCCTCTTCGCATTTATTTATTTACTCAAGTTTCCAAAAGTCTAATCCAAATACACACACGTATTTCAGCAATAACTTATGGGCTTTAGACATGAAGCCTTTAAAAACGTAAACAACTCATAGCGGGCGAGAAGAAACGCAACTTTAGCAAACGAACCGAAA